TAAAAATATATAAAAGAAATATTTCTTTAGATTTAGCAGTTAGTTGCCGACACACGTTCATGTCAACAAAGGCGTTTTGGGGTATGTCGAAAGAACACCTGCATCAGGCTAAAACTATCACTTATGAGTTTTTGGACGGATGCAATTGAACTTTCTTCACAGTTCATGTTGACCCACAGAGTCATGTAAACCATTAGACAGAAAATAGTCTAACATTAGGCGTTAGACAGTAAAATAGCCTGAATGATCTAAGCTAATTGTTCTTAACAGAAATAGAAAGGTTTTGCTATTTAGCTCCCATGTCCATCGGTACAAATTGACTCCAAGGTTGTAATGCTCAAGTGTATGTTTTCGTTGAGTCAATATTGCGTCTGTTATTTTGTGATGGTTGTGTTGTGATGCTGATTACAAGGAATACCACAATTCGTGTATTTTTATATCCAAATACATTAAGTCATTTTGTGTGTTTTTTATTCGAACAATGTATGTTTACTTAATTAAATCCGATATTGTTTCATATTCGAAATGCAATGTAATGAAAAATATTTCGTATTTAATAAAAAATGATGAAAAATAGTTATATTTATATTCACCCACCAAACTTTTTAAAATTAGTTTTGGACTTTAAGTTCAATCTTTGTTTCCCATTATCTATATCATTGCGGTAATATTATCATATCTTTTTCTGTACTTTAATTATTGAACTTTAATTGAAATTATTTAAACATGCATCAAAATAAATAATTAAATGTTTCAATCTACATAAAAACCTGATCATTATCCTCGCAGTACAAAACCAGAGCCTCAGGCTCGGATGTAGCGACCTAAACGCCGATAAGTATAACAGACATTTAATAGACAGCCCTTGTTGTTCTTGTGGACATCAGAGTGAAAACGCCCTACACTATTTCCTTACTTGCCGTAACTATACTCGGATAAGACTTAATATGTATTTTTACACTACCGGTTATAACCTGGATACCATTCTTAAGGGAAACAAAGAACTTACTCCCTGTGTAAACCAGAAAATAGTTGAATCCGTCCACGATTATATAACCAAGACACAACGCTTCAAATTTTCTCAGGAAAATAATTAAATTTACTCAACAACCTTCTCATGATTGATTTATATTTCTACAATGGCTTGTGAGACACACACAACTGTAACTCTCTAACTTATGACTACTTAGAGAATAGTTGTATTTCATGTAATCTGTATATTTATATATTTTAAATATATTATATTTATGCAATGGTCAGTATCGATGACGTCAAATCCTCCATTTTCATGTTGTATTATATGTTGCATGGGAGCGGTGTTAATATAAGCAGTAATGCTTGTTCACCAATCCTAATTCATCTTCATGATTAAACATATGTTTAATCAAACCAGACAAAACTACTGAACACAGGAACGCAGATGTTTTTTGTGAACATCCCGCCTTCATTGTCGGGCGTTAGGCAATGTACTGCAGGGTAAGCTTAACACCAACGGCAAACACTACAGGCATCCCATACCTCAATTTACTGAGAAATATTTTGAATCAAGTTCGTGGAGTCACTGTTGACAAATCGTAAGATACTACAATCAAACATGGCTTTGAGAAAAAATATGTTTACATTTAAACCTCTGTCCCAAATCTGTAGTTAATCTACATTGGTGTTTTCAAGTTTATCTGCATTGGTATGAGGAAGTCAAAGCGCTTTGACTATGAAGTTACATATTTGACACGGGGCTCTATAAAGAAGGTATTCCGAGACCAAGATCGACCGGGTTCACTGACAAATCTCAACCAACAATTACCAAAGCCTCCTGTACTTTCACTCAGTCCGCATTCCCTCATTACTGGCCAAAATATAATTGTCTCAAACCAGGAAACGTCCCCCTCGTCCAATTGGCAGAGATACCAGTCTCAGACCTACTATGAACGTACGTGGTCGTCCGCACCACTGGGTATTAAAGTGCTGTCCGTCCACCTCTTATCTCCCTCTCACCGGAAGTTGCTTTCCTTGTGTTTTCATGTTCAGCCCCCTCGTTTCCGTGGCTTTTTCAACAAATAGTGCATGTGCCAAGATGAATCCAAGTTCAAATTTGATGGCGTACCGCGAGATTTTATTTTAACCTGTCTAATCTCACCCAATGTCGGTCGTCCTTTCCTGCCGCGTACAAACAGGACTATATGTTTGCTTTGTTCAACACTGATTACTATAGTATTCAGGCTTATGTGGAGAGTTTCTATCTGGGCAGTCTTTGTGGTAAAGGCCGCTTGATGAACCTGTAAACGTTGGTGATCTATACTGGCAGCCCACTGCCGGTAGCAGTAGCTGTAGGGGTTTGGCAAGGAGGTATGCTGCGATTAGCATTATCTCAGGGGATACACGTTTCCTTGGATATCAGAAAAATATCAACACCTGTCATGCTGGCTAGCCGAGGGTAAGGCTTCGGGCAGGCCTAATTACGCAAGAATTACATGTCGTACTGTCTTATATGTATAGGCAATGGCAATATGTGTCAAGTCTTATTACAGTAGTTGCCTTGTTGACGAGTTGTTGTAATCTTGCCAGCGGCCGAAACATGAAAACGAAAAGTTATGAAGATAATGTTAACGCATATTTTCACATACTGACGACATCATGTATGTTTAAGTTAAGGTATGCAATACTATTCACGCATGTAGATTTTTATTGATGTGAATAACAACTAAGATCTGATAATAGTATAAGTATTTGGATGTTAATAAACCTATTGTGTTGTTAGTGATATTGGAGCCGATGATCAGCGAACCACAGCTAAGAGGGTTAATACTACACAACTAATTTGGCCCCCTTTAATCCCCATGATGACATAATGTCGTGACATGACATGACGCCGCTGTTTCAAGAATCATGGCCTGTATTTTTATGAGCTTTGCTCCCGAAAGATGTACCTTTTGCCAATAATTCTTTTGTTTCTGTTCGAAGGTTTTCACTTTGCTCGTTATAGGTCCTGCCAAAACGAAGTGTATATTTATTTCTGTAGTAGTTATTGGTTTTGTATTAGGTAGTGGCAGCAGTAGATTGTTAATTTAGGCGGTACTCGGCATTGCTCCAACTTCGACGGCGGTCTATAAATAATAGAGCCAGTCAACCAGTGGCTGACGTTACGAGCATCGACATACGCAAACTGGATAAACAGGATACTATCACATGTCAGCTACGCCAGTCAACCTAACTCTCATTCCCATCAGCTGCCTCTTACCACAAGCATTGGTTCTGGAAGACCAGTTCTAACCCGGATCTCAGTTTTTAGCAGCGGTGATGGTGTGATGTTGGCATTATTATCATCTTTAGTAGTAATAGTAGTAGTGGTCGTTGCAGAAGAAGTGGTAGTAGCAGTAGTAGTGGTTGTGGTAGCAGCAGTAGTAGTAGTGGGAATCGGTGGTAGTGGTAGTAGTATTAGTAGTAGTAGTAGTAGTAGTAGTAGTAGTAGTAGTAGTAGCTGCAGCAGTAGTAGTAGTGTTGACGGTGGCAGTTGTAGTTGTAGTAGTAGTCGCTGTTGGTGGTTGTGGAAGTAGCGGCAGTAGTATTGTTGGTGGTTGTAGAGGTAGAACGCCCCTAATCAGCACATGTTATTTAGCAGTAGTCTGGAAAGTACCTCATTTTCGTTGGTCACACACTAGCTCCTTTAAAACATCAACATATAACAAAACTCGTTTCTGTAAAGAAGAAATCTCTACCTTCATGAATTTTTGCAGAAACAGCTGTGGTAGAGCTGTTCGCGTAAAGCAATAGCAATAACCTAAAAATGTCAACTCACACTAAAATGTTCACCCACACACCATATGACATATACACTATAGTCTGTTTGCAGTGAAAACGTGCCGATGAATTTCACTTTAAACAAAAAAGCAAATCAAGTTAAGTGAAATTAAGATTGAGAATCCTCATAATTTTACCTTGCCAAATGAACATTTAAATCTCAGAATGTTTTTCAACTTAGGATAAAAGTTGTTTAACAAACGATCATAGATTCAAATCGCTATTATTGGTTTGTATTACAAGGTGGTGAGCGCCGTAGATGGAACAGTGAAACAAATGCACGTGCGGTACGTGATGAGCGTTAACTTACACCAACCCTACTTGTTCTCGATGTTTCCTTTAAAGTGCATACCCCCTTGTAATACAAACCAATAATAGCGATTTGAAACTATGATCGTATGTTAAACAACTTTTATCCTAAGTTGAATAAAATTCTGAGATTTGAATGTTCAATTGGCAAGGTAAAATTATGAGGATTCGCAATCTTAATTTCACTTTATTCGATTTACCTTTTTGTTTAGAGTGAAATTCATCGGTACGTTTCCACTGCAAACAGAGTCTATAACTTGTTGTAACGTAATGAAAGTATAGTGCAAATAGTGTCCTTCAAAGAGCAATAGCGATATGAATCATCAAAGCAATGTCATTCAGCAAAGCAAATATTTTCACATTGTTAACACGAGTGATTCTCAATGACCAAACGAGCATGAATTGGTAAGTCATGCTAATTATCAGTAGGTTAACACAAATGCTACATCAATCACGATCTAGGCGGTATCCTAATGCGTCTAATTGTGTGTTTATTGTCGACCCAGAATGTCACCGACCATATATAGTTGACAAAATGTCACGGATAACCAAACGCCGCAATTAAGAGAATTGTCAAAACTAGTATACACTGTCCGAGGTACACATAGACAGCAAGGGCTATTATGTCGGCTATGTGTCCTGTTGACCAGAATTACTGGAACGTAGGCGATGTCTACTGGAGATTCTTCAATCCCTGAAATCACAATGGTTGTGACGTCAGAGAAGTAAAATGTTTGGCGTATTTTCACCATGTCAGTTTGCAATTGTATCATAATGGTGAATGAATAGCAACAACAATGTCCTCTCATTGATTTCTTAACAGTTTGGCTTGTCAGTTGGCTGTTGATTTGAGCCGTTTGAATTAATTTGATGTCGTTTCTTTGCCTTTCCAGACGACCAAACATCGTTGTTGATATGTTGTGTGCATGACAATTACTTGAGCGCCGTGAGGGATGTTGATCTAAGGGAATCGGCAGTGACGAGCGCAGCCGAGACCCGGGCTTTCTCCCAGCAGACGACGAGCAGACGACACAAGCAGCAGACGTGATTTCTTCCATCAGCAGACGTTAATGACTGATCGCTGGGATAATCCCACGTGGTGACATCTTTCATCAATATGATTTCGATGAGTGGAGTTTCGGTGATTTTTGTGATCTGTTTGATTTACCTACATACTTGTAATGGAAATAGCCACCACCCGCCAGTAATGGCGACGCCTGGTACTGTGAAAATCGTCTGTCTCCTGGATTTACATCGCACGACTTCGGACACAGATCATAACATATGTAATACATCGAACCCGTACGTTCTACAGATGGCTTTCGTTGCGTTATGGAAACTGGATAATATGTTAAAACAGACGGGATCACAATCAATCGGTAAGTGAACTGCCTTACTGTCAGTTTGTAACCTACATTTAGTTGTTATATTTGTAGTTTAATATCAGTTATGTATACATATTTATGTTTGAAAATTCCTTTGCATTGAGTTGTCAAACATGTTTTGTCCATTTAAAACAGTTATCCAAAACTGTCGTTATCGTCGTAAAATTATTTTTGGTTTTTCAAATGACACCGCTCTACTGATACAGGACAAAGATCTTTCATTAAACTCTAAATCATTGGGCACATTCATCGTGTTCTGACATGCATCACTTATTTGACGCCTAGATGCAGTTTTAATATACCTATATACTTTCATCACATGTCATGAGTATCTTTAATAAAGTTATAAGTCACTTTGGAAAAGTAAATGATGGGTAGCTACATTTTTCTGCCATGATTATAGTTCATGGCAGCAGCTGAAGGTTCAAGATCACCTGACTCACCTATTACCTGCCTTGATTACAGGTATTTCTGTATACGACACCTGTGGATCCAAGGAACGCGCTGTCCGTATCATCAGCTCTGCCATCAGTGATACTGTTAAAGTGGGAGGTAAGTACCTTTATCCACCATTAGTTGTGCTGATACTCTGTCTCTCTCCACACCTGATCCCGATGACAGTTCATGTACACCTGTACATCTTTGAAACCCGTTGTTTCAGTGGTCATAATTCTACCGTCTCCGTCACTAAGATTTAATGACTTCTACACTGTATCAGGGATGTTTTACGTTGTTTCCTAAAGAAATCTTTCATTTGTGACAGATGTCAGTGGGGACAGGATATGCCTTTTCTCGAACACCTGGTGTTCTCGCGATTTGATGGCGATTCGTAAACACATGCTCATGATATGGCCGGAATCCCACAAATGACTTTTAGGCGTTGTTGTTTAAGGGTGTGTGAGTGAGTGAGTGAGTGAGTTTGGTTTTACGTTGCTTTTAGCAATATTCCAACAATATCACAATGGCGGACACCAGAAATGGGCTTCACACGAACCATCTGAAAGTCCTCTCAGTTTAATTTCAAGTTATTCAGGCCAACTTCATTTGTATATATACCCTGGTTGTTGCTCCTGATATCAACACCTGTTTTGTCAGGCCCAGGGTAGATTATGTTTACAGGCCTCCGTACTGTAACCTGACGGTCACGACTTCGGCATTCTGTCATTGTATCGTGTATTGATCTTAGTGACCTGGTGTCTAATTTAATGATTCGGCTCACTGCACAGAAGCAACGTCGCAGTTTAACACGTCTAGACCTACACCGGAACTGAGCAGCAGACCTTTAATGATACCATTCTGCAGTTAGTTCCAAAGCCGTGATTAAACTCTAAAAACAGGAATATTGGCCGCTGACATTTACAATTGAAGTACAGTCCTTATGTGCAGTAGAAATTAGGATACACCAGTTATTTGTGTCTTTATGGATGGGCCGTGGACATACATTGATTGACGCTTAACGTAAATTCAAAGTTGAAGCAGATGGTAGCCTAGCGGCTAACCAGAAGTATTGTAGCCCACGGGTTTGTAAGCTTTTCAGTCGTCTTGAGGGCATCTCCTGAGGCTGAGCTGTTCAGCAAACAGTACGTACGTGCAACTTACGAACACTTTTGTTACCAATTGTGGCTCCTCAATACACACTACACAATCGTGAGGATTCCACATCCTGGACACCACGAAACGGTAGGACAGGACACGAACACACAGGTCGCACTGGGTGTAACCTAATGGATAAAGTGTCCGCTCGTCACGCTGAAAACCCGGGTTCGATTCCCACATGGGTACAATGTGTGAATCCCTGATCCGGTGTCCCCCGCCGTGATATTGCTGAAAGCGGCGTAATACCATACTCACTCATTCACTCACCGGTCGCAAGGACACCTACGAGTCGCATAAGGTTATAGTACATTGTTTATTTCCGACTGCTGCTTACAGATTGGTGACTGATAACTCCTAAATTAATGAGATAAATTATGTTCACTATTCTGCTTGGTACCCGTGAAGCTCTGGTATAGAACTGGTCTTCAGCAACCCATACTTGTAATAGACGACTAACGGGATCGGGTGGTCAGGCTCGCTGACTTGGTTGACACATGTCATCGTATCCCACTTGCGCAGATCGATGCTTTTAATGCTAATCACTGGATTGTGTGGTCCAGACTTGGTTATTTACAGACCGCCGTCATGTAGCTGTAATATTGAGTGCGGCGTTAAACAACAAACAAACTGGGTGTCGCTAAATATGTACTTGGGCGTTAAACAATTAACGGACAAACACTACATGACGGAAACCTAAAATTTTCATAATTTAAAGAAATAATTTCATGTTATGAAATCTTGGATTACCGCATCATAACAGAAGACGATGACTCACGCCTGTAGGGGCCAAAAGGGCGCATGGAATCAGATTACGCTCGGCCACGTACACAATGTGAGCAGATTAAACTACAAAACAACCAAACATGTTACTGTGAGCAAGGGTGATGTTAATATTGATTGTACTTTCCCCAACACCAAGTTAGCTACTTGATGACCCGTTTTTCTACACTTGCTTCCACGCCTCGTTCTAGTGCAAACCCACCGACTTAATCCAGATATAATATACAACGTTACTCCACAATACGATACACCAATGTTAAATCTTGACATGTTTCGGAACACAAATACCAGTGTTTGTTCAGTATCTCTTGGCTTGGTAACAATATTTCAAATCTTTTTGTCAAATAATACACGCCTGTTTAAAATAGTATTTGATATTCGCTTATCGTTCGTGATAATTGTAAAGACCTTTTTTCTTACAAGTGCGTAAGTTTAACCCGTGGAATGTAGTCGGATCAAACGTGAGTGATCACAGCGCCGACGAACAACAAGTTGAACAGGTTACAACGCTGTTGCTTCAAAAGCGTGCAGTTTATCATAGATATCATACAGCATTATGGAAACCCCTTCATAAACAAAGGTCGACTATGGCTAAACAGCGACCAGCACGTGTGCTCCAGGAGGAGGGCTGGGGTGACAGAACCAACCACAGCATAAACACGGGTTTAAGTTCATCCCTATGTAAAGCTGCAATACAAACGCGGTCGCATAGCATGGATATTGGAAGCTGTGTTTGATATATGACAGACACAGCCTTAACGCTGTCAGCCATGCACGCACACTCAAAACTTGGCCATAATGCTGGATTTCAGCCACAAATCTTATTACACAAACTGTGATCCACGTGTTTGTTTATACCTGTTTGATAAAGTCAGGTGATCGCTCGGAAGACTTCTTTCTGGACCCGTGTCATTTCTCTTGGAGCTCTAACTTCTCACTGAGAAAACAACGAAAAATGTAAGAAGATTGAAGTAAATTTGTATCCTTTAGTGTTTCAGGATATAAACTATTTGAAAAATTCAAAACAGATGTGTGTGTGTGTGTTTTCGACTTCCGGATATGTCTGTGGTACACGATACAGTGTAGTTACAATAGATTGTAGATTAGTCTCATCAATAATTCTTTGACGTGACTTGATAATATAATACAGGTCACAGTTGACACTGCTCTAATCAATTATTGGTCTTCTTTTCACGCTATTTTCTCTCTTCTCCTAGAAACATCAATACTTATTGATAATATAGGACTGAAATGCGATATTTATATAATGATGGTATTCGGAATATGGGGTTTCTGTAGTATAAAGTGAAGAGGTGGTTTTCCACAGTCCTGATTAGCCGAACGGAAAAATTCAGGATTAAACCAACTGTTCTGTCTACAGCGCTCATTTGTCTTGAAAGAAAGTACATGGAACATTTCATCGTCCACCATATGACTTTTTAAAAATCTCAAACAGCTTGATTTTTGTATCTGAAAAAAATACCATTGGCAGTGCTTCAAAGAACTATTTCGGGTGCCACCCACCGTGATATTGCTGGAATATTGCTAAAAGCGGCGTAAAACCATACTCAGTCTCCTCATAACAAGCTCGCAGAGAATTTCTTCAATGCAGTGTATGGAGCATGACAATAATCAGTCCTTTGTGTGATTACATCCCAATGCATACATATCTGGAAGCATTGCTTGAATTCCCTTCCATTGAACGAGGGGATTTGGTGAAGACAAAATGGGAATTGGCAGTTCTAAGTTTGATGTCATATTGTGCACACCGTGTCAGATAATGCATTCAGCAAACAATTGATTCACACCTGTCTGGTGTTAACTCGAGACCATTGTGTCCAATTTACCGTCACAATCCAATCCTGCACCTCTCACTCACTATCGAAACATGCAACACGATATAAATACACCTTGGTAAAAAGACCAGATTGATAGTATGGCACAACACTTCTCGCGGCACTCCAACCGCTTTACGGCATGTCGTAACCATATTCCCGGTATTCCGTCGAAGAAAGGTGTTCATTGAAAGTGCAAAGATTCCTAACAAAATACCTTAGGTTCTTCCCCGTGGCCAACATGCCTAGATGCCTTGTCTGGGTATCGGTGCATGCCTAGGATACAGGCTCCCGACTAGGGCATTGTCGTGATCTCGTTACAGCGCGTGAAGGTTACGAGATTTGAGTTGTGGAATTACCGGCTTTATGGACAAGGCTTGAATCTCTGCCGGAGATGAAGTGCTTTCTGGCAGAGGGACATTCTAGGCAGCAAGCAGATCAACTGTGACGTTAAGTCAAGGCTTCTTTTGTTTAGAGAGATGCAATATTTGTCCGCGTAGGCCGAATTCACACGTTCTCGAGAATTAATCCGGGATTGTATGATCCAGATCTCGGTTCCGATTGTGTGACATGATATGCGCATCTGATTAAACATGATTGGGTTTATATGCTGACAAACTTCTTAACGATGTGAAGTGTTGGGTTTAACAGTATTTCTGCCACATTACGACATGTTAGCTTAATATAACAGAACCACACGTGGACGTTCACCTGCGAAACGTGAAAAGATATTGAGCTGATGTTTTCAGGGGGTTCGCTGAAGTGGTTGACTCTACTTTATAAAACCGAAATACTATTCAAAACGACATGATACCCAAATACCACTCACTCACCGACGCACTCTGTCTTGTACTTAGCGAGATTTGTTAATTTGTCGTTTAAACCCACACTATTATTAACATTATTCCAACTATTATACGAAGGTATGTAAATAATCGAGTCTGGACCAGGCTATCCTATAATTGACCTCATGAGTATCGATCTACGTAATTGGGATACTTTGATACGTGTTAACCTAGTCAGCCAGACTGACCACCCGATCCCGTTAGCTGCCTCTTACAAACATGAGTTGGAAGGCCAATTGTAAACCGGAGATTCACGGGTGCCAAGAAGAGTGAACATAATTTAGTCCATTGCTTTGGGGAGTTATCAGTCACCATTCGACAAGCAGCAGTCGGAAATAAACAATGCACTATCACCTTATACGACGCGTAGGTGTCCTGCGACCGGTAAGTGAATAAAGTTTGGTTTTACACTGCTTTCAGCAATAGTGTTGCTGGTGATCAATTCTAACCCGGATCTTCGCCAGTGTTGTTTCAATAAGACTCCTGTATATTTCGC